CTCTTGCTGCCCCTGCTATAGTCTGTCATGTCCTCTTGCTGCCCCTGCTATAGTCTGTCATGTCCTCTTGCTGCCCCTGCTATAGTCTGTCATGTCCTCTTGCTGCCCCTGCTATAGTCTGTCATGTCCTCTTGCTGCCCCTGCTATAGTCTGTCATGTCCTCTTGCTGCCCCTGCTATAGTCTGTCATGTCCTCTTGCTGCCCCTGCTATAGTCTGTCATGTCCTCTTGCTGCCCCTGCTATAGTCTGTCATGTCCTCTTGCTGCCCCTGCTATAGTCTGTCATGTCCTCTTGCTGCCCCTGCTATAGTCTGTCATGTCCTCTTGCTGCCCCTGCTATAGTCTGTCATGTCCTCTTGCTGCCCCTGCTATAGTCTGTCATGTCCTCTTGCTGCCCCTGCTATAGTCTGTCATGTCCTCTTGCTGCCCCTGCTATAGTCTGTCATGTCCTCTTGCTGCCCCTGCTATAGTCTGTCATGTCCTCTTGCTGCCCCTGCTATAGTCTGTCATGTCCTCTTGCTGCCCCTGCTATAGTCTGTCATGTCCTCTTGCTGCCCCTGCTATAGTCTGTCATGTCCTCTTGCTGCCCCTGCTATAGTCTGTCATGTCCTCTTGCTGCCCCTGCTATAGTCTGTCATGTCCTCTTGCTGCCCCTGCTATAGTCTGTCATGTCCTCTTGCTGCCCCTGCTATAGTCTGTCATGTCCTCTTGCTGCCCCTGCTATAGTCTGTCATGTCCTCTTGCTGCCCCTGCTATAGTCTGTCATGTCCTCTTGCTGCCCCTGCTATAGTCTGTCATGTCCTCTTGCTGCCCCTGCTATAGTCTGTCATGTCCTCTTGCTGCCCCTGCTATAGTCTGTCATGTCCTCTTGCTGCCCCTGCTATAGTCTGTCATGTCCTCTTGCTGCCCCTGCTATAGTCTGTCATGTCCTCTTGCTGCCCCTGCTATAGTCTGTCATGTCCTCTTGCTGCCCCTGCTATAGTCTGTCATGTCCTCTTGCTGCCCCTGCTATAGTCTGTCATGTCCTCTTGCTGCCCCTGCTATAGTCTGTCATGTCCTCTTGCTGCCCCTGCTATAGTCTGTCATGTCCTCTTGCTGCCCCTGCTATAGTCTGTCATGTCCTCTTGCTGCCCCTGCTATAGTCTGTCATGTCCTCTTGCTGCCCCTGCTATAGTCTGTCATGTCCTCTTGCTGCCCCTGCTATAGTCTGTCATGTCCTCTTGCTGCCCCTGCTATAGTCTGTCATGTCCTCTTGCTGCCCCTGCTATAGTCTGTCATGTCCTCTTGCTGCCCCTGCTATAGTCTGTCATGTCCTCTTGCTGCCCCTGCTATAGTCTGTCATGTCCTCTTGCTGCCCCTGCTATAGTCTGTCATGTCCTCTTGCTGCCCCTGCTATAGTCTGTCATGTCCTCTTGCTGCCCCTGCTATAGTCTGTCATGTCCTCTTGCTGCCCCTGCTATAGTCTGTCATGTCCTCTTGCTGCCCCTGCTATAGTCTGTCATGTCCTCTTGCTGCCCCTGCTATAGTCTGTCATGTCCTCTTGCTGCCCCTGCTATAGTCTGTCATGTCCTCTTGCTGCCCCTGCTATAGTCTGTCATGTCCTCTTGCTGCCCCTGCTATAGTCTGTCATGTCCTCTTGCTGCCCCTGCTATAGTCTGTCATGTCCTCTTGCTGCCCCTGCTATAGTCTGTCATGTCCTCTTGCTGCCCCTGCTATAGTCTGTCATGTCCTCTTGCTGCCCCTGCTATAGTCTGTCATGTCCTCTTGCTGCCCCTGCTATAGTCTGTCATGTCCTCTTGCTGCCCCTGCTATAGTCTGTCATGTCCTCTTGCTGCCCCTGCTATAGTCTGTCATGTCCTCTTGCTGCCCCTGCTATAGTCTGTCATGTCCTCTTGCTGCCCCTGCTATAGTCTGTCATGTCCTCTTGCTGCCCCTGCTATAGTCTGTCATGTCCTCTTGCTGCCCCTGCTATAGTCTGTCATGTCCTCTTGCTGCCCCTGCTATAGTCTGTCATGTCCTCTTGCTGCCCCTGCTATAGTCTGTCATGTCCTCTTGCTGCCCCTGCTATAGTCTGTCATGTCCTCTTGCTGCCCCTGCTATAGTCTGTCATGTCCTCTTGCTGCCCCTGCTATAGTCTGTCATGTCCTCTTGCTGCCCCTGCTATAGTCTGTCATGTCCTCTTGCTGCCCCTGCTATAGTCTGTCATGTCCTCTTGCTGCCCCTGCTATAGTCTGTCATGTCCTCTTGCTGCCCCTGCTATAGTCTGTTCATGTCCTCTTGCTGCCCCTGCTATAGTCTGTCATGTCCTCTTGCTGCCCCTGCTATAGTCTGTCATGTCCTCTTGCTGCCCCTGCTATAGTCTGTCATGTCCTCTTGCTGCCCCTGCTATAGTCTGTCATGTCCTCTTGCTGCCCCTGCTATAGTCTGTCATGTCCTCTTGCTGCCCCTGCTATAGTCTGTCATGTCCTCTTGCTGCCCCTGCTATAGTCTGTCATGTCCTCTTGCTGCCCCTGCTATAGTCTGTCATGTCCTCTTGCTGCCCCTGCTATAGTCTGTCATGTCCTCTTGCTGCCCCTGCTATAGTCTGTCATGTCCTCTTGCTGCCCCTGCTATAGTCTGTCATGTCCTCTTGCTGCCCCTGCTATAGTCTGTCATGTCCTCTTGCTGCCCCTGCTATAAGTCTGTCATGTCCTCTTGCTGCCCCTGCTATAGTCTGTCATGTCCTCTTGCTGCCCCTGCTATAGTCTGTCATGTCCTCTTGCTGCCCCTGCTATAGTCTGTCATGTCCTCTTGCTGCCCCTGCTATAGTCTGTCATGTCCTCTTGCTGCCCCTGCTATAGTCTGTCATGTCCTCTTGCTGCCCCTGCTATAGTCTGTCATGTCCTCTTGCTGCCCCTGCTATAGTCTGTCATGTCCTCTTGCTGCCCCTGCTATAGTCTGTCATGTCCTCTTGCTGCCCCTGCTATAGTCTGTCATGTCCTCTTGCTGCCCCTGCTATAGTCTGTCATGTCCTCTTGCTGCCCCTGCTATAGTCTGTCATGTCCTCTTGCTGCCCCTGCTATAGTCTGTCATGTCCTCTTGCTGCCCCTGCTATAGTCTGTCATGTCCTCTTGCTGCCCCTGCTATAGTCTGTCATGTCCTCTTGCTGCCCCTGCTATAGTCTGTCATGTCCTCTTGCTGCCCCTGCTATAGTCTGTCATGTCCTCTTGCTGCCCCTGCTATAGTCTGTCATGTCCTCTTGCTGCCCCTGCTATAGTCTGTCATGTCCTCTTGCTGCCCCTGCTATAGTCTGTCATGTCCTCTTGCTGCCCCTGCTATAGTCTGTCATGTCCTCTTGCTGCCCCTGCTATAGTCTGTCATGTCCTCTTGCTGCCCCTGCTATAGTCTGTCATGTCCTCTTGCTGCCCCTGCTATAGTCTGTCATGTCCTCTTGCTGCCCCTGCTATAGTCTGTCATGTCCTCTTGCTGCCCCTGCTATAGTCTGTCATGTCCTCTTGCTGCCCCTGCTATAGTCTGTCATGTCCTCTTGCTGCCCCTGCTATAGTCTGTCATGTCCTCTTGCTGCCCCTGCTATAGTCTGTCATGTCCTCTTGCTGCCCCTGCTATAGTCTGTCATGTCCTCTTGCTGCCCCTGCTATAGTCTGTCATGTCCTCTTGCTGCCCCTGCTATAGTCTGTCATGTCCTCTTGCTGCCCCTGCTATAGTCTGTCATGTCCTCTTGCTGCCCCTGCTATAGTCTGTCATGTCCTCTTGCTGCCCCTGCTATAGTCTGTCATGTCCTCTTGCTGCCCCTGCTATAGTCTGTCATGTCCTCTTGCTGCCCCTGCTATAGTCTGTCATGTCCTCTTGCTGCCCCTGCTATAGTCTGTCATGTCCTCTTGCTGCCCCTGCTATAGTCTGTCATGTCCTCTTGCTGCCCCTGCTATAGTCTGTCATGTCCTCTTGCTGCCCCTGCTATAGTCTGTCATGTCCTCTTGCTGCCCCTGCTATAGTCTGTCATGTCCTCTTGCTGCCCCTGCTATAGTCTGTCATGTCCTCTTGCTGCCCCTGCTATAGTCTGTCATGTCCTCTTGCTGCCCCTGCTATAGTCTGTCATGTCCTCTTGCTGCCCCTGCTATAGTCTGTCATGTCCTCTTGCTGCCCCTGCTATAGTCTGTCATGTCCTCTTGCTGCCCCTGCTATAGTCTGTCATGTCCTCTTGCTGCCCCTGCTATAGTCTGTCATGTCCTCTTGCTGCCCCTGCTATAGTCTGTCATGTCCTCTTGCTGCCCCTGCTATAGTCTGTCATGTCCTCTTGCTGCCCCTGCTATAGTCTGTCATGTCCTCTTGCTGCCCCTGCTATAGTCTGTCATGTCCTCTTGCTGCCCCTGCTATAGTCTGTCATGTCCTCTTGCTGCCCCTGCTATAGTCTGTCATGTCCTCTTGCTGCCCCTGCTATAGTCTGTCATGTCCTCTTGCTGCCCCTGCTATAGTCTGTCATGTCCTCTTGCTGCCCTGCTATAGTCTGTCATGTCCTCTTGCTGCCCCTGCTATAGTCTGTCATGTCCTCTTGCTGCCCCTGCTATAGTCTGTCATGTCCTCTTGCTGCCCCTGCTATAGTCTGTCATGTCCTCTTGCTGCCCCTGCTATAGTCTGTCATGTCCTCTTGCTGCCCCTGCTATAGTCTGTCATGTCCTCTTGCTGCCCCTGCTATAGTCTGTCATGTCCTCTTGCTGCCCCTGCTATAGTCTGTCATGTCCTCTTGCTGCCCCTGCTATAGTCTGTCATGTCCTCTTGCTGCCCCTGCTATAGTCTGTCATGTCCTCTTGCTGCCCCTGCTATAGTCTGTCATGTCCTCTTGCTGCCCCTGCTATAGTCTGTCATGTCCTCTTGCTGCCCCTGCTATAGTCTGTCATGTCCTCTTGCTGCCCCCAGCTTACATGTACTGCACAAAGGAAACCACTCCAGATTTGAATGGAAAACTAGAGATCAGAGTGTGCAGTGAGCTCGATATCGACTTACCGCGGACGACTTTCATCGGCAGCTGAGTTGCCTCTTTCAGCGGCGCTACGTAGGACAGTGACCGCTGGACCCTGCCGACGGCCAGTGTACGGTCAACCAACGCCATGACGGATGGATGAAGTCGACACTCCACTAGGCTCATGACGTGTGGACTGTTGACATTGCAGGCTAGCGGTGTGGGGCCGATGGCTGGCAATGCCCCAGTGCCATTCCACTGTCCAGTGGTGTACATCAGCTGAGATAATGGCAACAATGTAACACATAGAACGTCAGCTATGGAACACATAGTACGAGACACAGAGCATTTTAGTTGCCGCTCGCAGCAATCCACAGATCAACGCGCCTGATAAGTTGTACATTGAGAGCAATCACTCGAATGGGCTCGCTGCTTCATGGCACAATGGCTGGCTACAGTGACTAAGGCAATACTTGAGAAAGGTAGCTAAGATTACTATGGTTTGCACCCAACCGATTGTGCAGTGTTCAGCTCAAGCAGAATCTAGGCTATACCTGTGTGCTGGGTGCCAAAAGCAATCGGCTTTGGCTCAATCGAACCAGCATGTTAACCACTGTGTGGCTGCTACCCACTTTCCTGTCTTTTGATGACACTCACCTCGCGATACGCCTGCTTTCCCACTTGCAACAACATCGACACGGGGCTGCCAAGCCGAGCAGTCAGCCCGTGTACCAGCTTGCGATTTGCACACAGAACAGAGCGCACGGTTCCCGCCACGAATGGCAGCCACCGGCCGAGAGAGGACACGGCGGTGTGCGACTGAGGTTCTGGCTGCTCAATAAGCTGAGTGACCGCTCCCTGTTGGGATAATTGCACACACACACAAACACGCATGCATCCACGCACACGTACACACACGTACACACAAACACGCATGCACGCACGCACACACATACATGAATATACATGGCGACAGATGAACATTCATATTGGTAAGACTTGATAGTCCGTATGGGTAAGCAACAGCTTGCGGCCTGTTCCTCAAAATTTATTCCAAATTCTCCGAAACAGCTGTATAGAGGATTTACGCCACTATCTACAACAACTTGAAGTCATATTGCTGATCGGTGTGGTGCATGAGGTCTGCGGGAGAGCACATGTGCGGAGCGTGGATTAGATCTGTGTATGACTTGTAAAATAGAAATCAAAGTACGAGTACCGTATATCACCGGCACGACCCACATGAGAGAGAGAGAGAGAGAGAGAGAGAGAGAGAGAGAGCGGAAGAGAGAGAGAGAGAGAGAGAGAGCGTAAGAGAGAGAAAGAGAGATCACAAGCAAAGCGCCTCACACACATACCAGTAGTTCAGGAAGAGTATCCTCACGACGATGGCCAGCTCTTAGCTTGTGAACGGCCGTGAACAAGTGAAAGACGGCCGTCTCCACGGGTGCCATCATTGCCACTGCTTCGCTGATGCCCAGTGCACAGATCTCACTTGGCTGACCAAACAGTTTCATTTGCTCCAATACGGGTGTGGTGACCGGCGCTACATGTCCCAGCGCAGTCAGCAGCAGAATGCGTGCTTGCAGCCACAGCCTGGCACCGATATGACTGCATGTGACACTGCGGTCGAATAACACTGACGACGATGAGTCATCCCGGTCTGGCTGCTCAAAGATGGACATGGCGTGGAGTGCATGCTGTGCATGCTGTGCGGCCTCCAGGTGATGCAGCTGACACAGAGATAGACGGCAGAGGTCCAGGCGACAGCGTACGATAATCTCAGCGTCGACGGCCTGCAGTCGATAGGCGAGCTGCTTCGATTTGCCTTTATTGTCCAGAGCTCTGCCGCTGTCACCTGTGTGTAAGAGACCAGGTAAGCAGATGACAAGGGATCAAGTCACCAGCCTACTGATACGCAACATTAGAATGCACTACTTTAGCACGTCGCTACTTAAGCACATCGCTACATCAGCATGACTGGCTGACAATCCCACAGATACTGGACGGATACCAGGTGATAGCTGATCACACCATCGGCAGGGGTGGAAAAGAGCGAGGTGACGGAGAAGGATTGCATGCTCCTACGAGGTGTATCTATGTACACATTCACACACGTCTCTGCTGCTGCTGCGTGCAAATGCATCTAGACCTGCACAGGAGCTATTGCTCAGTTGCAGGTACCGTAAAGTCGCGGATAAAAGCCGGGCTTATAAGCACATACGCCGCTTTCTGCATCAGGCTTTAATGCAAACCAGGCTTGTTTGCAAACCATGCTTATATGCACCACTGATATTTTGCCAGGCTTGTATGCCAGGCTTCTACGCGCAACACGCGTAGATCTACCACTGACTACCGGTATGGCGGCAGTTTTACTATGCACCGTACATAGCGCATGCACTCTTGACCTACCCGATCCGCGCTTGCATAGAAGCCAGGCTTCTACGCGTGACAGGCTTATATGCATTTGACCTGTTTGATTTTCAGGCTTCTATCCGCGATGTGCTTGTATGCAAACCCGGCTTTTATCCGCGACTTTACGGTACACACAAGAGTACAAAGCAAGAGTGTGCAACTGAGACAGGGTCAGGGAAAGCGGCATTCATCAGCTATGTCATTCATGACGCCAACGTTTAGAAAAATCTGATGTCACAGTTTGCATTAATGCAGTCACTCGCCCAACAGTAGAATCGTGGGTAACTCCTTCACGAATCATCAAAAATGACGTTCTTGACGAATCGGGCTGTCCAGAAGCCACAAGCAGACTTGCACACTCTGGTTTTACGTACAGTGAAACTTGTCCAAGCCAGCCGCTCAAGGGACCTTGAAAAAAGGTGGTCCCGTGTACAGGTGGTCTCCTTGTCCAGGGTCATTAAACTGGGAATAGCATCCCTTGGTCTTAGTTCTACTGGTCCTGTACAACAGGTGCTCGCCTTATAAGAGAGGTCACCTTATAAGAGAGGTCACCTTATAAGAGAGGTCACCTTTTTAGAGAGGTCACCTTTTTAGAGAGGTCACCTTATAAGAGAGGTCACCTTATAAGAGAGGTCACCGTATAAGAGAGGTCACCGTATAAGAGAGGTTGCCTTATCAGAGAGGTCACCTTATAAGAGAGGTCACCTTATAAGAGAGGTCACCTTATAAGAGAGGTCACCTGATAAGAGAGGTCACCTTATCAGAGAGGTCACCTGATCAGAGAGGTCACCTGATAAGAGAGGTCACCTTATCAGAGAGGTCACCTTATAAGAGAGGTCATCTTATAAGAGAGGTCACCTGATAAGAGAGATCACCTTATCAGAGAGGTCACCTTATAAGAGAGGTCACCTGATAAGAGAGGTCACCTTATAAGAGAGGTCACCGTATAAGAGAGGTCACCGTATAAGAGAGGTTGCCTTATCAGAGAGGTCACCTTATAAGAGAGGTCACCTTATAAGAGAGGTCACCTGATAAGAGAGGTCACCTTATCAGAGAGGTCACCTGATCAGAGAGGTCACCTGATAAGAGAGGTCACCTTATCAGAGAGGTCACCTTATAAGAGAGGTCATCTTATAAGAGAGGTCACCTGATAAGAGAGATCACCTTATCAGAGAGGTCACCTTATAAGAGAGGTCATCTTATAAGAGAGGTCATCTTATAAGAGAGGTCACCTGATAAGAGAGATCACCTTATCAGAGAGGTCACCTTATAAGAGAGGTCACCTGATAAGAGAGGTCACCTTATGAGAGAGGTCACCTGATCAGAGAGGTCACCTGATAAGAGAGGTCACCTTATCAGAGAGGTCACCTTATAAGAGAGGTCATCTTATAAGAGAGGTCACCTGATAAGAGAGATCACCTTATCAGAGAGGTCACCTTATAAGAGAGGTCAGCTTATAAGAGAGGTCAGCTTATAAGAGAGGTCAGCTTATAAGAGAGGTCAGCTTATAAGAGAGGTCAGCTTATAAGAGAGGTCACCTGATAAGAGAGGTCACCTCAACAGGTTTACTGTGTGTTTGGTACACTGGGACTCTACCAAGCTGTACTTTGAAATTCTCTGCAAATCCTGCAGGGAGTGGAGGCTCGGGCTGCGGAAATGCACGCAAGTAATGTAGGCGCCGGCACTTTGCTTACTGAAGATGGGTCCTTTGTCACCTGGGGTACCGGCTACGGCAACATTGTGGATGGTTTCCAGTAAGAACGCAGCTTTTTCTATCAACACAAGCTGCAGTGCAGGACACATTCACACACAACAACAACAATAACATTCAAGAATGCAAAAACCCGTCATGGCCACAGGCAATCGCAGCCTTCGCAGGAATAAAAGATTTCCAAAAACACCATCAACAACGACCGGCATTTCGCTTTCGAAGATCTCGGTAAACCTATGGCTTACACGTAAAAGTGTGCACGTGTGTTCGTTTGTGTGTATGTGGGTGTTGGGGGAGGGGGGGGGGGGGGGGGGGGTGCAAAGCAGTTTGATTACCTTGAGTCCAGCTGGAGTGGCAAAGGAGAGAATATCTGGATCTGATGGTGCCAAGGCTGAACACAAACCAAAATTCAAATAAAAGACGAAGAACATTCAGCGTATTTTCGCATAGTGCGTTACAGGAACTATTCTAGTCACATGACAGATATCATGACTGTCAGAAGCAAGTTAATGTGGAGCAATCCACCTTTACATGAAACGTTGTTCACCGACATGAAAGGAGTGCTCTGCAAGGACATGTCGCGGATGACACACACACATGTGTGTTCGCGCACCTGCATGCACTCCCCCCCCCCCCCCATGCACACAGGCACACACATATACACACACAATGACACACACACACACACACACACACACCAATTTACCAGTAGTGGAGAGGTTGGGTTCCAGTTCCTTGCTAAGCATGGCACGACTCTCCTCGTTCAGCCGCTTTGCACTGCAGTCAAACACATCAGAACCATCTGTTTACTATCATTGTGTTACATGAGATCTTTTCATGCAGTGTCACATCCATCACACCTCCTTCTATAAGATGACAACATGATCTTCTATTGTATTCTCCTTGTCTCCATATTGCAGTTCTCGCATCGGAAGGGTAGACGCTGTCCCCTGCTCTAGCGTAGCCCGTGGATACAGCTCCATATCATCCAGGATTCCTCCACTGAACGGTCACAGGATGGTGCATGCCTGAGACGGTAAGTGTTCAGTGACAGTCTCTCATCACAAGTTGACTTTTCAATGCGTATGCATCTGCCACCCTGATACAATCAGGCATGGTGGTGGCCTGGCACGAGCGAAACTTCTCTAAGCTGCTTGTGTTTCTCAACACAATCGTAAATCGGTGGTAACGCGGATTTGCAAACTTTAGTTTTTTTACATACAGCTCAAGTCCATTTCTGTATCATTCATCTTTAAGTCACCTCACTACTACTAACTAACCAAACTCTAAATTTCACGGCATTTGCCGCGCCATTCGCTCATACAAATGAGTACCCGAAGCCAAAATCCGTACCAGTTCACGTCTTCACCCTTTGGACAACACAGTGGCATGGTGGAAACTACTTCAGTCAGAAAGTTAGCCACGCAGAAGTCAATCTTGTCCACCAGTGATCGTCCATATAGCCCCATCTCTCTGTGCTGAGACCAGGAGCTAAGGAACAATAGGGTCTGCACAGAAGAAACAGCAGGAAGACCGCAAAGAACACTCAAAAGAACACTCAAATACACACACCGTCACTTGACACCCAGTGCAGACATATTGAAATCGGTGCAGGGAATGGCATGGCGAGATATAAGAACGTATAAAAAAGTTGTTAAAAAGAGTAAATTATCGTGTCCGTTCCCAAAGGGAACTCACGACGACCGCTAACACCCGGTAAACCCTAGCGATGAACGTATGACTCGGCATTGGCTAAATGCTGCGTGGCGGAGAATAAGACGGGAGGTTTGTCACATCGGAGGAGGTGGCAAGGGACATTCGAGAGTGTGAAGGGAAAGAGGGGGAGGTCACCGCAAAGTCGAGGAAGGACCCATCAATTGGTAGCACACACTCGGAGGACAATGGCTATAGTGACACTCCTATGAGAGATGCTGAATAAGTTCTAAGTCACACTACTTGGTCCGTCACTGAACAAAATCTTCGGAAAGAACATACTAGAAGACTCAGTGTTGGAACAGAAAAAGTTGTAAATCTTGATCTGTCCTTATATCCTATGCCAACTTGTGACCGTAGTGTCTGTCTTGCACTGAATATGCTCAAACAACATCTCGCTGTAGCACAGTATTTTTTAAAGGGGAAGTTAAAGGGGAAGTTAAGGCAAAAATTAAAATTTCACCAGTTGTAGTCTTCGGGGTGCCGAGTCGAATGGTCTTGGTCCGAGAAGGCTGAGACGCTCCCTTCCTACTTGAATCCCAATCGAACTCGCGCACTTCCACCGAAACTGGGTGACTGCGCCCTACGAGATGGGGATTTGTATGCAAAATGTCACTAAAAGCGCCATTTCGTTCTTATAAAAGCACGGATGACCGCGATTGGCCCATATGTTCTAGTCTTTTGGACGCTGAGTCGACTGGTTTTGGTCCCAAAAGGCTGCGATGCAGCGTTCCTCCTTTATTCCCAATCGAACATGGTTGAACAAGTGGTCACGTGCTCCTGGGTGCCCAAATCACCTGGTCACCACGCCAGCAGGCGACAACTTTCACACCAAGGTTCAACTCGAGTGACAGGACTGCACCCAAAAAAGGTCAAACAGGCTAGTAAGTTGTACCCTGCAGGCACGGTGACCAGGTGACTGGCGTACGCAGGAGTACGTGACCGCTTGTTCAACCATGTTCGATTGGGAATAAAGGAGGAACGCTGCATCGCAGCCTTTTCGGACCAAAACCAGTCGACTCAGCGTCCAAAAGACTACAACATCTGGGCCAATCGCGGTCATCCGTGCTTTTATAAGAACGAAATGGCGCTTTTAGTGACATTTTGCATACAAATCCCCATCTAGGAGGGCGCAGTCACCCAGTTTCGGTGGAAGTGCGCGAGTTCGATTGGGATTCAAGTAGGAAGGGAGCGTCTCAGCTTCCTCCGACCACGACCATTCGACTCAGCACCCCGAAGACTACAACTGGTGAAATTTTTATTTTTGCCTTAACTTCCCCTTTAAGGTGTCACTTGTGCAGGCAACGGGCATCTTTCAAGCACTAACTACTCTGAACTTACCTTGCAGTTCACAGAGTGACGGGCTGGCTTGCTGTCTAAGAATGCCACTGTCATCTACATACACAAGACACAGGGTATACGTATAGTTCTAGCAAGAGTCCATAAATCCCCCAGAGTGCCCAACTGGGATGGGGTTGTGGGACGGTGTAATCCGTGATGTACGTCATTTTTTGGGTCGGACGTGCGTCATTCCGTCGACGCGGTCCACCACGGATTTCGCCGTCACAGATCTGATCAGTGAAGTTGTAAGTTGCGCACTCTGGGGGGGGGGGGGGGGTTACGGACTCTTGGTTCTAGTTAGGGCATGGTGCTCATTCACCAGCAGTCAATCTGATGGTGTGGAAAGGAGAACGCTACTTTTACTATAACTCACAGAGCAACTTTAGTGTGTGTGGTAGTGGCCTACCAGAGCACACACACACACTCACCGTCGTAGTGGCAAATGAGTAGCAGACAATAACACTCCTAGCCACGTCGTAGACGGAAATAGTGTACACCGTGGAATCATTCAAAGGCCCGCAAGCATGCAGGATAACGAGGTGTGGCAGATAAGCAGAACGATCAGTGGTGAATATGGCTAACTGGGCAGCAGAGTAGCGCCTGAAAACAATGACTCCCTAAATTCCTAGCCACGATCACTCAACCGGCTAGAAAAAAACATGCCTTATTTACATTCCTATACACCACAAGATACTTCATTTGTCATGACTATTGTTTTCCAGCAGCCTCAGCAGCATTGCTTGTCATATTAATGGTTCTGAAGTATTTGAAATGCATTCAGACTTACCAGCGGTGATTTCTGGCTGGCTTCATTCACGTTCACATGTCCTATACCGTCTGGCATCCGGTGACCGGTCAGCAGGTTCCTGAGACAGGTCGCTGCCTTGGAAAACACTCCCAGCTGGCTGAGAACAGCAACCTGAAGGGAAACATAATTGGCAATATAGTCGGGATTCGGATAAAATTCATGGCCAGAGAAAACTGTGTAGCACTATGTATGATGGACCTAGAAGCAGTGCCAGCTGAAGATCCTATTGATGGTCGGCTCCCGTTAGGGTTTTTCAAATATAGGCAGTTTGTTCTATAGTGGGTCTGTTCCCAATAGTGGGTCTGTTTCCAATAGTGGGTCTGTTCCAATAGCGAGCCTGCTCCCTATAGGGTATATGACAAGTCTGCTCCCTATAGAGGGTATCATGTTTCCTATAACAAGTCTGCTCCCTATAGGGTATCGGGTTCCTATAACAAGTCTGCTCCCTATAGGGTATCTGGTTCCTATAACAATTCTCTTCCCTATAGGATATCTGGTTCCTATAACAAGTCTCTTCTCTATAGGATATCTGGTTCCTATAACAAGTCTGCTCCCTATAGGGTATCATGTTCCTATAACAAGTCTGCTCCCTATAGGGTATCGGGTTCCTATAGGGTATCTGGTTCCTATGATAAGTCTGCTCCCTATAGGGTGTCTGGTTCCTCTAACAAGTCTGCTCCCTATGGGGTATCTGGTTCCTATAACAAGTCTGCTCCCTATAGGGTATCGGGTTCTGATAACAAGTCTGCTTCCTATAGGGTATCTGGTTCCTATAACAAGTCTGCTCCCTATAGGGTGTCAGGTTCCTAAAACAAGTCTGCTCCCTATAGGGTATCGGGTTCCTATAACAAGTCTGCTCCCTATAGGGTATCGGGTTCTTATAACAGGTCTGCTCCCTATAGGGCATCGGGTTCCTATAACAAGTCTGCTCCCTATAGCGGTATCTTTCCTAGAGTTGTTCTAGCAGGTTAGGTCTTCGAAAGTATAGTGCGCCCGGGAGAAAATGTTTTATGATGCAATATCGTATCCCAGGCAAAGAGGCTCTGCACTCCTATTCAATATAATTTTGACTTTGCCGATGCGGTCGTTCTAGCTGCTATTGCTGAGGTATCCCTTTCCTCCATTGCTCCTGCCGACCACAACTTTCATAGTTATTTTTGGGACATCTACTGTGGGTTCTAGCAATGTCATGAGGTCTTCGTTGAAGGATTCGTCACTGGTTGACGTCATGGTTCGGCGCCACGGGAGGGTTCATGGACATGTGTGCAGAAGTGTTCAGGGAAAATCCCGCCCTGCTGTAGGAAGCAGACCCTTTCAGAGACCTTATACATGTACACGTACTTCGAAGTACTAGTACACCGTGCTGGTGTGTAGAGGATTAAATGTCTAGCACCAGATTACTTCAGGGCTACTGTGCATCGTAGCACCATTGCATTTATATAGCTGCTAAGAGCGGATGCGCCTCGATCCGTGAGGGTGGCGGCGTTCCTATGGATGCGCCTTGATCCGTGAGGATGGCGGCGTTCCTATGAATGCGCCTTGATCCGTGAGGGTGGTAGCATTCCTATGGATGCTGAACACTCCGTGCAACTGTGTATAACGCGAACCATGATTTTTTTCCGTAGGACGGATATGTTGGCCAACAACTGCCGTCATCTTGCTCAGTGTCTGCATTGCCTAAACGCTATACTTGCTGACGTTCAGTGAGATGAATGCCGCCAAAATGAAAACTATTCATCTCCCATAGCTTTACTGCACACACACACACCGGCACAGGACAGGCAGTGCCGACCATGCAAGTATACATTGGAATCAGGCACATTCTCATAGGAACTGAGACCCCTGATCAAGGAAGCTTCGGTATACGAGTAAAGCAAGTGTGGCCAGCTGCATGAGCGCGTGTACGGCAGCAAGTAGTTACAACACATGGTGTGTGTACACTTACCTGCATGCACATTGCATCAACTGACATCTCCAGGCTGCGCGTCATGTTACGTGCGAGACCCTTCAACAGGCTCAGCATCGGTAGAGACTGGAAAAGAGAACACAGCGGCAAGCAACAGGGTACTGTAACTCTCCCGTATCCGGACACTTTGGGACCGGGTACTTTGGGACCGGGTACTTTGGGACCGGGTACTTTGGGAAGGTTCACGTTCTGCCTGGGAGCGGTTTTTTCCAGCCGTGCTGCTATCCACAGTCAACTGGGAACTTGTGGCCAGGCACAAGGGGTACATGAATGCGGCTAATAGGGTTTCTCGGCACTTGTGCCAGTGGTTGTGAGACTTATCCACTCACCCCCACCGTTAGGCGCTGCATCTGCCGCTAGGGTTTACCCGGTGTTAGCGGCTGTCGTGAGTTCCCTTCGGGAACGGACACGATGATTAACTTTTACTTTACTTTGGGAAAGGGCACATTGGGACCGGACACCTTGGGACCGGGCACCTTGGGACCGGGCACCTTGGGATCGGGCACCTTGGGACTGGGCTCCTTGGGACCAGGCACCTTGGGACTGAGTACTTGGAACCGGGTACTTTGGGACCGGGTACATCCCGCAACTTAGAAAACACACACTGATTGAATGCAAGTAGCCACTTTTTTTCATTCCAAATCGGCAATATTTTTAGGTGTGGTGTTTCATTGAAAAGCACATTTGTGACTCTAGACATTACTAGACACACGCACACAACCAGTCTCTGGCTTTTTGTCAATTTTGGACAATCTTGCTAAACTACTTAGAATGCATGCGGGGTAGCCAGGTACATGTACTGCACAAGTAGATTACAATGATCACACAGCAATGACACAACAAAGTCCTTTTCCGCCGTTACTCAGAGTTTCGTGTGAAAACACTCATCAGCCAGTGCGAGTAGATTAAAATTACGGAAAGCTTACCTGATTCAAGTAGCCTGCATCAATCAGCGTTCTGCACAGCCAAACCAGGTCATGTGACAGGGCAACAGCATCGCAGCGATATGGATCACTGAACAATTCAACGCCAGGCAAGAGTCTGCTCGGGTCCACCGTGTGCTCGGCAAACTTCATGTCGTCCATCCAAGACAGGGGCAGAGAGGCTTGCATTGCACCCTGCATAGTGGTGAAATAACGACACACACGCACACACGCACACGTGCGCACACGCAGTCAGGGAGTACACCACACCTCACCAGCACAGTTCATGTAGCGCCTACGAAACCATTGTACTTTTTGTTTCGTTTTGTTTCCCCTCTTTCCGTAGGTATGTGCACTATGAAAAACACCTCAGTTTCGTCTTTATTGACTTTGCATCACTCCACTGTGGTTCAATGATGACGGCGATGCAAACAACTAAACTCCGCAACACCGTGATACTAAACATCTCAATTCTCATCCATGCCTTCATACAGCTCACCTTGAACAAGGAGAACGCCAACAGGCAACACTCCGTCTGGTTCTTGAGCGCTTTGCCGTGCTCAAACCTAGCATGGGAGAAATTGTCCGAAACAGAGCATTGTGCATTACATACTATGATCATGCTGGCTTCATCCCTTATCTCCTAAGCTACCCCCCCCCCCCCCCCCCGGTGCGTCTGCCCAGTGTTGACTCCGAGACCCACGGTCGGACGAGCTGCCCAGGCCTCACCACCACTGCCGTTTCCGTGCTGCCTTCTCGATACATACGTATGTACACTGTATATCATGTGCACATTCACATGTCTGAAGGTTTGTGATTTTTCAATAAAAAATATTTTAAAAAAAATTGGCTGATACATGTATACGTGCAGCCGGGCTGTGAGTTCTAGTACAATTATTGGAGGTAAGTGCATGGACCATGGTTAGGTGACCAAGTGCAGTACAACAACATAAGCGTTGATAAATTCTTATCGCCTTGTCTCATTGTTGGTCATTCTCCATGTGGTGGCACGAAAGTCAACGTCTTAGAATATGTTGCACAAGTTACAATGTCAGCCAAGACACTGGTCATGAGTGACAGGACGCACAGATAGAATACACACAGCTATTGCTTGTGACAGTATAAGAGGCTAAGAGGAAATAGCTTCACTGGATAGGAGAGTTGTCATGTGCCTACAATACGGGCCTTGCCACCTACACTAGTGCAGCCTCACTTTTACCACGCACATCATAAAATACAGTCGTCCCTCTTTAATCCAGCACTTTCTAAACCAGCACCATCAATACACGAGCACAGTTTTCAGTAATCACGATGTCCTCTTCATGCACATTGCAGAAGTAACTCAGGGTTGTTAATCCAGCACCCTCTCTAATCCAAGAATTTCTGTAGCACACATTATGCTGGATTATAGAAATAACTGTGTATAGTTGGTCAGTACCTTGCCAGTTTGGTGGCAATCTGCCCGGCAAACAGACAGCCCCAGACACCACATGTCTCCAAGAAGTGGTTGGCAACATGGCGCAGGCCACTGGACATGGTACCCGGCAAGACGGAATGCTCTTCATCGGCGTCTTGCTCGTTGCCATCTTCCTCGCCCTCCGCACTTTTCTCCTCCTCCTCGCCACGCTTGTGTTTCTCCGCATCGTCCGGCTCCTCATCTTCGTCCTGATCCATGTACTGTCTCCAGTCATGTAGGACATCTCTGACACCCAGCATGTCGCACAGTAGTTGTTGCCAGATCTTGTAGGCACTCCTGCAAGTCAGCAGTCAGCCGGCACAGAGGGAATATCAAGTTGTGTACAATGTAGTTGTGATGTTGGTTGGAGACAACATGGATAACATAAGGAAGCTTAGCACAAGAATGTGTAGTGGGACATGATGCCAGGAACGCCTGCAGCTTACTCTGGTGTACACAGGAAAAACAATGTCACATAAGAATCACTTCAGAGCCTATCAGCATGCTGGCTAAAAGCAAGCAGACCAAATCAGTACCGGTATACATGCACTATGGCTCAAAGGTCTGTGACGCAGAATCTACCACAAGTTGTTCGGTATGTCTGTTGTGTGTGAGTGCTCGGCAAGCAGTACCTGTGTGTTGTGTGTGAGTGCTCGGCCGGCAATACCGCATTGAACATCTATACGATGATGCACTGGTTGAACTGCGCTGCATGCGCCACCGCACCAATAGCAGACATGTTTGCTAAACTGAGTGGACAGTTCCTGTTGTTACGGCTGCACGCTGCATTGCTAGGCCACCAGTTTCAACTAGACAAGACCCAAGGCAAGCACAAGGTCAGATCTGATGGAGCTAGTCTGATTGGTAAGGCCATGGCCAGACCAAGGTTTGGTCACCAATGTGTGCTCACTGCTGAATGAGGCATGGCTGTATACCCGCCACATTGCACCGAGCAACTGCTGAACTGGTCACACCAAACGAAAACTGTTTCTGGCGGTCCCAGACTACCAGTGACTGTACGTTATCAACATCATTACAAACCTACCGTATTTTCCGGAATATAGTGCGCACTTAAGATGTGCTATTTTAGGCCCTAAATCGCAGGTGCGCACTATGCTCCGAATATGAAATGCATGTACTTCAATGAAGATTGAAGTGCGCACCCCCAATGAAGATTGGGGGTGCGCGTTATGCAAAGGAAAAATACGGTATGCGTACATCATCGGCTACATGTACCGTATTTTCCGAATATAAGCTACACTGGACAATAAGCCACACTGGACAATAAGCCACGCTGGACAATAAGCCGCACTGGACAATAAGCCGCACTGGACAATAAGCCGCACTGGACAATAAGCCGCACTGGACAATAAGCCGCACTGGAGAATAAGCCACAATGGACAATACGCCGCACTGGACAATACGCCGCACTGGAGAATAAGCCGCACACACACTAACTTACTCTGTGTGTTTAGCGTGGAAGAACAGGCCCGCCAACTCTGCCCTGGCCTGGTACATCAATGTCTTGTCTTCATTCGTCTTGAGCAGCTCTAGCCACGCACAGTGCAAAAAAAGACCTCTCTTGGTGTATCCGTGAAGGAGTGATTGCGATAGCTGCTCTGGCTAAACAGTCTATTTCCAAAGCACTCTCATAGGACAGTCTCTTAGTTTTATGACAGGAAGCAGTAACCTGATAGTCTGAGCATAAGTACACCTATTACAATTGGAAAACGAGATATTAAATCATTCGAATTTTCAAACAAGGCCCATCTTCAGTGTTACAATTGAATCACAAGAAGTTAGTGAAGGCAACATGCAAGAGTGATTAGCCATGCATAACACTTCTGAATATTCAATGTGCACCACCTCTCCACCCATCCCAGTATTGGTTACACTGAACAGACTCGTACATGCCTCTGTGATCTACACCTTACACAGGTCACAGCGCATGACAGTTGTACACACTGGATTGTAATGGTCAAACAATCCAACAATGAGTGAGTGAGGGCTGAGGGGGGGGGGGGGGGGGGGGAGTGGAGTAATGAGTTTCAGGGAATGCCGCTGATCTGGTCTTTAGCACAGTGGTCTGCTGGATCACAGCCATGTCATGGTAACGGTACACACACTTGGAAGAAGGAATCCGGCAAAGCATTTCTGCGGTAACTCTGAGTTTCACGGTTTTTATCGATCATCAGACAGCAACTTTACTACTATTTTCCGAAGATGTGACAAATTAAAGCTGCAGAAGGCTTGGATCATGTCGCGAGAGAATGATACGGGCTAATAGTGCGATATGTACATTATTGTGTGAGTTGGGCATGGTACATATAACTCAAAAAGCCCAAAACGACATAAGCCCCTTTTTGGATTTATCGATTCCTAGGACATTGTTAAGTGACTCACTGATCGTAGTCATGTAGTGCGATACAACCATGGTCAAGGCGTCCTTCCGGTGCTCTTCCAGGACCGGATACACAGAGTGGCTGGTCCAGAGTTCGCTCTCCGCTGGAAACTGGCGGCAATGCGGGCACTCGGTGACTTTCGTCTCCACCAACACAGGAGTACTTACTATGCCTACACGAGCAAGGAAGTCAACACAACACGGAAGAACATCTTCACTCTCAAATTAGGGATTGAATTGCGAATACATGCATGCAGTGAATGCTTTGTCGTTCAGTAGACTTCGCAATGATGTGTTCAGCCAGTTACTCTCAGCTCCGCACATAAGACCAAAGAAGTTCTGATAGTTACATTGTATTTGTCCAGAGATTGAGCACATGGAACCGTTAGTGAAAAGTTATGGACACATTCTATTCATAGTTAGCGGAGCCAATTGAAAAAGTTGACAATTACAGAGAGTTTCGAGTTGAGCGAAAAGGAGAACATGTGTGCGAATGGGTCGGGGAAGCTAGACAAAATGCATCTAGTTGCTATCCCATGAGTGGCAGCAGCTTGTTCAGTCGCTTTCATTCCCCTTTGCAGGCATATGACCTACCTTCAGCTTTGTGACAACTGCCGATGTAGCGCAAGCGAAGCAAGCGGCTGTGGTACAGCATGTGCGCATCGTCTCGTATTGCCAGGCCAGCCTCGCGTAATCCTGTGAGGTGTTCGTCAACAGCAAGGGTGGCTGACGTACGCCAGCGGACGTGATCGTATACTTGCTCACCGACTGGATCAGCATGTACCGATGGCAGGAGATCTAGGGGTGGAGAAGGGGAGGAGGAGGAGGAAGAGGAGAGCAGGGAAATTTGCAATTAACCTCTCTTCTAGGAAGAAGCAACGAAACCACTGTTATCATCTCCAGTTCGGCGAAGACTGCTAGAAGGCACATACACACGCCTTACTTACACCTGCCCATCACTGAAGAGATGATAGCAAACAAGCTATGTTAGTCATAGCAGCTTGTACTGGGATAGGCCATGAATCCCTATTTCAAATAGCTGTGTGCTGTAGACCAGGCTCAAATTAGTGGCAGTCAATTGATAAGCCTTGCAAGCTGTTGAATGGTGTAATCCTAGCACAAGTTGCTATGACTGGCATAGCTTGTTCGCTATCATTGCTTCAGCGATGGGCAGGGGTAAGTAAGTGCCAGTGTGTTACTGTGTGTGTGTGTGTTTAGTCAGAGGTTGAACGGACAGAGCATGACCCCCCCCCCCCTTCCCTGGCACCATGGTACAACTAACAAGGACCACTCATACATGTAGAAGATCACTTACCCGGCGTTGTGACTATTCTGGGAAACTTGCTATCACCGGCTAAGTTCTCTGCCACCTCCCATGCTCCATACAACCTGGCATCCAGCTTTCGCTGAGACACGAACAGCAGCGGCGTGACATGCAGGGAACAGGCATTGCTGTGACAAACACAGGGAACAGGGAGGGACACACCAGATACAAGAACATCACTTCTTGGTCACTTACACCTGTCAGGCATACCTCCGGTTGAAGAATACACAGTGTGCTGTGTTACATACACTCCTATGTGGAATGAGCACATCACGGGCCTGGTTCTGGTCCCCCCCCCCCCCCCCCCCCACACACACACATAGTTTGTAGCTGCATAATAGGTATAAAATCATATTGCGGTCTACCTTGTTATTCGCGAGTTGTCGCTATGCAGCATGCAGTCAACTGGTCCCTAGGTCTGAAGATAGTGTCTTTTTCCCGAGGTTGACGGTATGTGATAAAGTACCTCAGTGTGCTGCTGCATGATCATAGGCAACACTATGCTAGGCAGGCCTTCTAGCATCAATCCATGTGCCAATCAGATGGGGAAAACATCTCTGACTCAAGGTCTAGAACACGTAATGAGCTCTGGAGATCCATACTTGCTTACCAGGCTATCACTCACACACATATCTTGTACAAGTATAACAAACTTCAAAGAAGAAAACAGAATGCTTCTGCTGTGACTTTGAGTTTCATGCTTTGTTTCCTTCTTTCCTGTTTGCGTATTAGGCTCTGCACTTAGGTGCATTGTGCACTGTCACGAGACACGAGCTACTACAACTCTCCCCGAGTGCATCGTGTATAGTATCCAGACTAGCTGCACCGCCACACTGCATTCATGTACACTTCCTGCACTTCCGTACTGACCTGGTTGCGGCGTTGAAGCGCTGCCCAAAGTCGATGACCAGCTCCCAGCGGCTGAGAAAGAAGAACTTCTGCAGCGTGGCCAGCGTGAAGTTGACGCACCAGCGCAGGTCCAGCGTGTACGTGACCGTATCGTCCATCGTACCCCGTCGGAAATAGAGACTGGACTGCAGCGGCATGCCACGGCGCATGTCACGCTCCACCGGTGGGACGCTGGGGAAGCAACGCTCGCAGGTCCTCTTCTCCGGCGCCTTTCGCATCTTGCCTGTGCTCGCATTGCAATTGGTGTGGGGTGGCAATGGTTTTGTAGACGCTCTAGGCCCAGACAACTAGAATGTAGGATAAATATCAAGACAGATGCCGTGCCTGGTTAAAGATCTGTTCGCAAGATTCTATTATTTCAAGGAGCACAAAGCCAATGTGCATCATACCGGCTCTTGTTTGCACACACATTCTCCAAATGTGAGATGGGACCCAACCCATTGCGGGTGTAACTACTGCATACACTACGGAAAAAAGGGGGCAATCCACCTAACGGGGTCTTCAGATGAAGTTCATGGGAACAATCATGCTGTGGATGCTCAAGGGATGGAGGGAGTTCAGTACACAACATACGCACAGCTAATATTCACAGGGCACATGTGGAAACCAGTGGTGCTCTTTGACATACGGAAATCCAGTGAATTGTGTTGGTGAACATTCACCTATCCACGTGTAATGTCCAGAAAAACTGAGCTAGCCGGCTCTCCAGTGCAAATCCCTACTCACCGGCTTTGGCTCTTTTAGCAAGCCATCGAATGCTTCTGGCTGTAGCGTGGATATTTCGCTCAGCATGTCGACGACGCCATTAGCAGCGTGGAAGAAGACCTTGCGGAATTGCTCGTGCAATGCCACCCTGCACTTCTCCTCGTAGTGGCGGACGGTGTTCTGGAACTCTTCCCTGGTCTTGATTGCCTGCTGGAGGTTGATTTGACTGATGGTGTGCCAGACAAGACTGTGAGAGACGGAGAGCAGCATGGCCTGTATCTTGTGAACCATGTTGTCCACGAGCCGAGCTACGTCCTGGAGAAGTAAGTATGCCTTGCCTCTCTCAGCACATACCTGTACCGATTAAATGCGGACACAATGAGAAGACAATACAAAGCATCACAAATGATGATGTCACTGCATCTCAAATAATTACGTCGCTATATAGCCTCTAAAATGCTCTAGTACAACAGTTACTTCAGTTCCAGGCCCATTTTACAATAGCATGGATGAAGTGGATGAGTCATCTTGAAAGAACAAGGCAATCGCTAATAGATGGTCTGGTGTGGGAACAACAGGATGACATACTGGAATATGCCGGACAGTAGTAAGTGACAAGCTCCATCAGAGGCCATGCAGTGACATCATCATCTAAGATGCAATGATGTCATCAATTGAGATGCAATGACGTCAGTATTCGAGATGTTTTATGTGAAGTGGCAAAATAGTGGTGCAACCACCAGTTAGACAATAAAATCTTAACACAAACTATGGTTCTTGCTTGCCACTCCACACGCAGCATATGCGATGATGTCATTCTCAGAACATCTACAGCACGGTATGGTGGATCTGCAGTCCATGTACCATGTGATATTATGTACATATATGTACTTACCAAGGCGCGTGTCAAGTGAGACTTGACTGCATCCAGCTGATCGCTACGTATGAGTTTGTCCGGTGTCAGCATAGACCGGTACTCGTCCAGCTTTGAATTTGCACCAGTGAAGTCCCCAGCTGACGTCAGTGTTACTGTAATCTCATCTGGTGACTCGGTTGCAGCGCACTCATTGCTGATAGCTTCATCATCAAAGTCAGAATCATCATCATCGTCATCAGGCATGCCATCAGCAGTAATTGCTGTGCTGCTGCTGCTCCTCTGTCGTCGGCTGCCATCCTCGGGATCGACGTGACCCTTCTTCTTGCTGTGGCCCTTCTTCTTCTTCTTTTTCTTCTTTTTGTGATGCTTCTTGCCCTTGGTGCGGCCCCTGCTTGCAGTTGAACCATCGCCTTCGGCGGTTCCGGTTTGATCCATGCTGTTATGAGCGCCGTCTTTGATACCGGTGTCTTCAAGTGTCTCGCCGTCCTCGACTTCAGTGTCACTCCCAGTATCCATTCCAGTAGTATCTGTCTCGGTCGTGTCACTTTCTTCTGTGTCATGTGCGTGCCCTGCTTCAGTGTTGACGTCAGCCTTGGCATTGTTGTCAACAGTGTCATTGAGGACAGAGCCGCCATTGACTATGCTATTCCTGTCACCGCTCTCCGTCTCATCACTTCCACGAGTAGCGCTATCGCTCACATCTTCATTTTCATCGTCCTCAGTGCTTGCCTTGACCAGTGTCAAATCCCCCGGAGAGTCACTTCCCAAGGACTTGTCCCCGGCAGCTGGGGCAGCTACAGAAGGCTTGTTTCCCCGATCTTTGCCTCCGAGGGGCTCGACTGTTGTAGTTGCCTTTCTGCCAGTGACCTTCCTTGCAGTTCCAGCATGGGCCTAGGCATGACAATACAGAGCCAAAATGACCCATACATCACTAAAATTATGTCCAAATATCTAGCTATTCCTTGATCTGTTGCTAGGCCAATGTAATTAGCAGCAGAGAGGGTACTTATCTAGTATGCAACGATTCCACATAGGTGATGTAATTGAGGTTCACACATCTACCAGGGCTATAGGCATTCCTGTTTTTCAACTGCCAAGCCATGTTGGTGGAGGACACGCATCTGCTCAGACCCTGACTGGCCTATGCATAGATTATGTATACCGGGTCAGTACCGGATACAGGGGCGTAGCCAGGATAGTGATCAAGGGGGGGGGGGGGGGGGGTGCTACGACTTTCCCCACATAAAAGTACATGCACTTATGTTGGTCCTTTCATGCATATTATTCGATCCGTGAATTTGGGGTGGGGGGGGGGGGGAGCAAAATTCGCCTCTAATTCGACACTGAAGATCAATCAGTGAATGGAAAATCTCCAACCAGGGAGTAGTAATGATTATGGTATTTTACTACACCCTGGCCTGCTTCCAACTAATGATGGACTAAGTCCTGAATGCTGCTTTCTCCAGAATAATCACACTCTCCATCGATTAAAGTGGGATTTCTCGAGCCATTTTTCCCCTTCGTCATGTTTGATAGTGCAGTAAGGCATCCTTGATCAAACCTACACTATTCCCGACAAAAACTCAAACTGCACTTCAACGTTACTTTCACTCTTCTAATGCTGTATCCACGTTTGCAATGCATGAAAGAAACTTTGCCTTTCCACAACGAGACCAATTAACAGCGAGAACTACATTATACAAAACATAGCGAGAACAAACTGCTATGTCTGACGTGTGCTTTCCAGCCATAGACCGCGTTGCTACTTCCTTGCTTCTACCAATGGCGTGTTTGTATGATTCTTTGCTTCTAACAAAACACGTGGAGTGCGATACAAATCATGTGCTGAACCTGCTGAGGCCTGATGTGACACTGCACAACGGCAGGTACGAAGCGGAGTTCCCTTGACTAGAAATTTCATCGCAAAATGGCCAATCATGAGACAAAAATTAATAGTCCACTAGCATGTGGATTGGTTTCAGATACATTAACCCGACTGCTGCATGGACGATAAGTGCTGCGAATCGTGATCATGCACCCTGGCCTGAGTAGCTCGCTTGGCTAATTGAAAGTCTGCCGACCTGGGCCACCTTATGTTGCTAATACATGCACAACCCCAGTCACAGCGCACAAGTTGGTTGAGTTTGGCCGTCAGGAGGCCAGCGCAAGGTATCCGGGGCGCGGGTCTGATTCCAGCGAGGGGCAATGTGGTACCCCGCAGCGCAAGGGTAGCGTGATACCCTAAGCCAACGTGCGTGCTGCATGAGTAGCGTGATACTCGCCGAGCGCTTTTGCTGTTGCCTAGCAACGCGTTTCTGTCTTTCCTGGGCCCCCAAATGCATGTTGGGTGGCCCTGCGCATGACTGCACGTTGTCATAGCAACCTTGGAAATCTCAAGCCGGTTACCAACAAGCTAGGAATCAGACCAAGCCGCCGAATGCCCCCAAATTCTGCGTTGGTCAGCCGAATGACCTTAGTGTGGTATTCAAGCGCTTCAGCTACATGTACGTAGTTCAAATGCGTGCCCTTCGTATGGTTGTTTGCCCTTAGTGACACTGATAAGGGTTTGAATCGCATGTAGTCGGCAAAAGCAATGGGTGGCATGATGCCCTAGGTGGGAGCTATAGCACAGCAACTGAGGGTGCAGGTAACTTATCATAAGTATCAGAGGCGTGCGTGCACAGTCAGTGCTAGAACGTGAGTGCATACGTCCACGAATGGGCGTACCAGCGTGTGCGCAGCGTGTGTACCTGCATGCGTGCTTGCGCGGTGTCAGACTGCGGGTGCGCGTACGCGTGTGCATGCGTGGGGGTGTGCGTGCGTGTGTATGCGGGTGCGTGTATGTGGGTGTGGCTGTGCGCGCTTGCGCCAGCGCAAGGTATCCGGGGCGCGGGTCTGATTCCAGCGATGGGCAATGTGGTACCCCACAGCACAAGGGTAGCGTGATACCCTACGCAGCACAAGGGTAGCGTGATACCCTACGCAGCACAAGGGTAGCGTGATACCCTACGCAGCACAAGGGTAGCGTGATACCCTACGCAGCACAAGGGTAGCGTGATACCCTACGCCAACGTGCGCGCTGCATGAGTAGCGTGATACTCGCCAAGCGCTTTTGCTGTTGCCTAGCAACGCGTTTCTGTCTTTCCTGGGCCCCCAAATGCATGTTGGGTGGCCCTGCGCATGACTGCACGTTGTCATAGCAACCTTTGAAATCTCAAGCCGGTTACCAACAAGCTAGGAATCAGACGAAGCCGCCGAATGCCCCCAAATTCCGCGTTGGTCAGCTGAATGACCTAAGTATGGTATTCAAGCGCTTCAGCTACATGCATGTAGTTCGAATGCATGCCATTCGTATGTCTGTATTCCCTTAGTGACACTGATAAGGGTTTGAATCGCATGCAGTCGCAAAAGCTATGGGTGGCATGGTGCCATAGGTGAGAGCAATAGCACCGCAACTAAGTGGAGCAGATAGCTTCTCATAAGTATCAGAAGCGTGCGTGCATAGTCAGTGCTAGAACGTGAGTGCGTGCGTCCGCGAGTGGGCGTACCAGCGGGTGCGCAGCGTGTGTGCATGCGTGCATGCTTGCACGGTGTCAGAGTGCGGGTGCGCGTACGCATGCGTGTGTGCATGCATGTGGGTGTGCGCGTGCGTGCGTGCATGTGTATGTGTATGCGGGTGCGTGTATGTGGCTGTGCGCGCTTGCGCGCCTGCGGACGGTGAACAGTTACTTTCCACAGCGGACATAGTGCTTGTAGCAGGCACTTCGCCGTTCTGCCGAGTTTCATGATCTCGGATTCGGTGAAGCCGCTCAATGCTCCTGTGGTTGCGGGTCCGGCTCTGAGGCCGTGCAGTGGATACTGGTTCGGTGGGTACCCTGCGCTGCTCAGGAGCTGACGGATTAGACGTGTGAGTCTTTGTGCAGCCAGGAAATTGCCACAGCTTTCGATGACCAGTGGTCTATTGGGCAGGTTGGCGCGTCTGGAGAGATAGGTATGCATGGCTCTGACCGGGCAAACCGTTGAGTTGGTGGTTGTGAGCCGGACGGAGTGACCCTTGCCGGGTTGGTCGGTCTTGGACTTCTTGATTGTGACCTGTATGGCCTGCGGCGTGATGGAGAGGTCATTTGTTCGGAGGCCCCCGTCTGACATGGTTGTGGCGGAAATTGCAAAACAGTTGGATGCACGCAGCAGCACAGCTAGCAAGAGAAAGAGCCGTGGATGGGTTTGTTCCTGTTTTTGATGGCTGTGGCCATCCGTTCGCCCAATGGTCTCGTGTGAGTACGGCGTTTGTTTGTGCTGCCAGCTCGCGTCCGGCGTTTGTTTGTGCTGCCAGCTCGTGCCCGGTGCGCGAGTGAAACCGAACCGTGACAAAGGCTTTCGCTCTTTAGTGCTATTGACTTGCTTTTCATACGATGCCTATTGATGTCTAGAGACATGCTGTCTAGCCTTCCCCTGGTACGCATTCACGGGGCTTTGTTGAAGTTCGTGCCGTGAACTGCCAAAGGGAATTGTTTGAATGGTGCTGGGGCGAGTGCGACATTACGGCGTCCCTGCAGCCGGCCTAATCGCGTTTGTTGCCACAACCGATTTTGTACTTGCAGGTCTGAACCAGGGAGTAGTACCTACTACTCCCTGGTCCAAAACAGGGATGGCTACAGTGTGCGATGTGCAGAGTTGTGCATGTGATCAGTGGGTCTGCCTCTCTCGAACCAGCTGTGAACCAAGATCGAACTTTTTGAGGGGGGTGCTTTGGCACCCAAAGCACCCCCCCCCCCCTGCCTACACCCCTGGGATATCATGCATATTAGTTCTTCCCGAGGCAGTGCTAGCCCTTCACAGGTTCTGTTCACCTAACACAATCAGTCACACTAAGCCACAGCAATGATTGGTAACACATTAGGACAAGAGGCACGGGCAGTGTTGCTGTACAGGATGCAGATGGCTGCTGTGTTTTGTATGATTGGCTGGTTTCTCATCCCAGGGCCTAGTCCAGACCACTGACTTGTCCTATGGTACAAACAATTTCGTCATGGGAGGGGAGAAACAGACATATGTTTACCCATACAAAAGAATGATGGAACCAAACAATTCGGAATTTTACTCTTTGCTGAGGTGTGATGTATCATGCCCTGCACTGAGTGATTTGCGTACACCGTACATTGCCTGGCATTGCCTGGCATTGCATGAACCTGATTGGTCTGCAACAATAGAATAGATGCATTTTTTTACTGCAGAATCACACCCCCACTGTCAAAGACGGAAGCAGACAAAGACAAGAGCAAACAGGGCAGAAAGGAAGGAAAAAACGAAGCCATAAGAACAAATACAGGGACCGTTCTTCCTACATTGTTAGTGATGATATTGGTACTCACCTCGTCTTTATGTTCTGCTGAAGAACTGAGCTGTTTCGGTGCCACAGATCCATCTTGACGCTTGAAATGCTCGCCTCTGTCCACGATGCTCGTCTGGAATATCGTGCGCTTGTCTTCGTCATCCAGTAGATGAAGGAATTCAGCGTTCACCGTGTCCGGGACACTTCCATAGCTTCCACCGTTCACCACCAATCCACCCGCTATGCCCAGATCAAACCATGAAGGGTGCACTCGACATCTAAATTCACAAACCCCGCAGACATCGGCACGCACACGCCAGCACACACACACACACGCACACACCCTCATGCAGGCACGCACGCATGCACACACGTACACATGCACGCGCGCGCACGCACACGCACACACACACACACACACACACACACACACACACACACACACAATACCCTATTGGGTCGGGATAATACCTAGGGGTCAAACGGGTGTACCTTTAACTAACGAACGGGTAATTTTCTTAACGGGCGGGTTAACGGGTACCCTTTAGCAGCCATGTTTAAGTTTTTGCGCAATTTTCACATAAATCAAGATTTTAATCAATCTGTTCTCGGGTTGCATTTTGATATCACATTGTGATCGCAAATCGATTGGTGTTTGATAGTCGCAGGAGTAGATCTACTAGGTGCGAAAATGCAACAACAATGCAGACATCCAGCGTGGAGTTGTAAATAATTGACTCCCGCCTGGAATACACGATCCCAGGAGTGTTGCTTCGTACTGACTGGTTCATCAAAATCCAAACGGGTACCCTTTTACTAACGGTACCTGAGATTACCGGTCGGGTACCCGGGTACCCGGTACACCCCTTTGACCCCTAATAATACCCTATCGGGTCGGGATAATACCCTATTGGGTCAGGATAATACCCTATTGGGTCGGGATAATACCCTATTGGGTCAAGATAATACCCTAATGGGCCGGATAATACCCTATTGGGGCGGGATAATACCCCATTGGGTCCGGATAATACCCTATTGGGTCGGGATTGGATGCATGGAGACCCAGAGGTTTTCCTTGGATATCATTTCCCCTCAAACCAAGACCAAGGGATTATGGCTTGAGCCTTCCATATCACCTGGGTCGAGGAGAATATATGTCCCAAAAATCCGTAATCCCCTTGAAAGAGTGGTCTGTTTGAGGTGGAAAGGAAGATGTCACGGTATCATAGACAAGAAGTACAGTACAAATAGAGACCAGACCTGTGCATGCACGTAATGTGGATCCTACTCAAGCCACACAGCCCTGTAACCGAGCTCGACTCTTACTTGTCAAACGTCTCCGGTATACTGTCCACTGCTGAGAGTTTCTTTTGCAGCTCTTCAACATACAGGGAAAAGTGCACCTTGGCTAGCAGATAGTGAAGCTGCAGAAGGCAAGAAGCAAAGCGGAGGAATGCTGAGGATCTATGCTTGGTGAGCACAGCTGCTGAGGATCTATGCTTGGTGAGCACAGCTGGTAGCCTTGAATACTGTATAAGTGCAAACTGTCGTTCGCGAAATCTTTCCGGTTAGATCACTCCACCAGCAGGTTCGTTACGTTTCTGGTCAAGGTCTGTCACGCCGAACGTTCAGAAAATAAACTTTAGTTTGGTTAGTTTGGTACAAACTTTAGTTGTTTCGCACCCCTAACGAATATAGCGAAGGTTAATTCCAAACGAAACGTTGCACTTATGCAGTAGGATATGTCCTTCATATGTCCATGAGTACAGTCACTTGTAATGCGTCACACACTTGTGAGTTAGCACACTTGCGATAAGTCACACATGCTTGCAATCAGGACAGCATGTACACGTATGGGTACTGGATCACACACTTGTACTGAATGTATCACACAATAGCATGTCCCGTGGCACTGAGTACACAACCCCCAAACAGCAGTAGACTATGCTAGCCACTACATGTAGGCAACAGCAGTGTTCTACATGCTGTGATGCATTATAGAGACACAGGACCACAGGATTCACTTGAAATATTGGTTAACGTTGCCACAATGCCAGAGCCCGATCACAGAGATATGGCAAGGCTTACCCTGCTCCTCCAGGGCAGCTCGTCTTTGCTGACGGAGAGGAATCTCTTGCGGCAGCGCATCATACGCCACATGCAGGGTAAACGTGCATGCAACACCAGGGCAGCCTGTCAGATAGCAAGACGACCAACAGCAATATGACAGGTGAATATCAGCCAGGTCATTTACTCGAGGCATGTGTGACCGAACCACTAACTATCCACTCCACCAACCATGCTTACCACGTTTCACTATGCATTCTAAACACAAGTGGGGTTTCTGTTTCAAATCTGGTATAACAAATATTTTATAGAAAAGAAAAAAGGACCAAAGAACTACAAGTTACACATAACGTCCACTAAACACCACCAGTTACTAAACAATCAGCCCATGCGATAACATAGTCATTGCACAACACTGACCGACAGTGCTGACGTTCTACAACTAACTGGCTGTCAGCTCTACCACATCTTGGATGCGTACTCCAACAGCCTTCTAACTTGGAAGGTTCTAAGGTATATGATGACATAGGAGGGGAAGATGAGCGCAACCAAAACAAGCACTGTTATCGAATGAGCTGATTGTTTAGTAACTGGTGGTGTTTACTGGACATTATAGCGTAACTTGTAGTTCCTTGGTCCTTTTTCTTTTCTATAAATAAATACTTTGAAGGCTCCACATGCAACTCTTTATATAGTCTGGATTCGCCAGATGAGGCAGAACTGTTTGCAGCTAGATGGAGCGTGTGATGATTGGCGCGTGTTGAACACCAGTTTATATACCACGAAGTCAAATCTGACAATGAAATAATCGAATTCCTCGCTCGTGTTAAAAAGCATCATTATGTTATTGAACACATCATTAAAAACTCGGGTGTTGAGCCAATAGTAATATAAAAAGTGTAACTGATGCACATCTACATGTACATACCCAGCCAAAGACAGGGTAAAGTAGTCACTAAGAAATTGGTGAACACTGAATCTCTTGCTGTGTGTGCACACCAGTCACGGTTTGGCACTCTTTCCACCATCACTCACCAGAACTTGCTTGTTCTCGATGGGAAAGCCATCTGGAATAGCCTTTGCGCCTACCCTCCATGTGGGACGACTGATTCTCTCCGGCTGAAAAACAACAGTCGCCATGATACATTAATAGTGGTATGTTACAATCAGATTATTTCAGACAATGACGAGCCCAGGCCAGATATTCCATGTTATACAGATATCAAAAGCACAGCAAAACCATTCGGCACGATCTGCAAAGAAACCAGGTGAAGAGGAGTTGGCTGGATGCTGTGGGTGCGCTGCTGGAACTACTTGCATATACCCTCCTGCACTACTTGCATATACCCTCCTGCACTACTTGCAGATACCCTCCTGCACTACAGTCTCCCATTTTGCATTAGTGACATACCAGTTAGTTGACGTTTCAAATTGCCAACTCACCTTCACTTGTCTGAAGAGGTTGGCTTTCTTGCGCTTCCTGAATGCACGGCCCATCCTCTCATCATCATTATCATCATCCTCGAGTCTACCACGAGAACTCTCCTCTTCCTCTTCCTCCTCATCCTCCTCCTTGTCCTCTTCATCATCCTCACTTTCCTCGTCCTCCTCATCATTGTTGTCTCGGCGCTCATTCGCGGTTGGGCTATCAGCATCACCATTTTCCGGGTCCTCTGGTTGATCAGTAGAGCTGCTGGAAGAGCTGTCACCGCTACTCTCACTGTCGCTGTTCACGACACCGGTCGTTCTTGCCTTGCCAGGAATGGCCTCGCGCAACTTGTTCAACAGCTTTGTGTCGCCGTCCAACTTGTCTTTGCGCAGTAGTGTGTAGTTTCTCCTGACAGGGGACAAGAAACAATTGGTAGAGAGAGGGGGGAGAGCGAAAGAGTGTGTGAGTGAGTGTGTGAGAGAGAGAGAGGGGCGGGGGGGGGGGGGGGAAGGAGGGGAGATAGAGAGAAAGAGAGAGGTCAAAGGCGGAGAAAGAGCATAACGTTGTACTGACCTGCACAGTGACAACCCACCGTGCAGACAGAATGCAAGGCCACAGCAGCAGTAAACAGGCACAGAGACCAGTCAATAGCCCAGAGAACAGTCCAAGACCTATGGAGCAGTCTAAATCCTAGGGAGCCTAGGGAACAGTCCAAGGCCCAGGGCCAATTCCAAGGTCCAGGGAGCAGTCTAAAGCTCAATCCAAGGTCCAGGGAGCAGTCCAAGGTCCAGGGAGCAGTCCAAGGTCCAGGGAGCAGTCCAAGGTCCAGGGAGCAGTCCAAGGTCCAGGGAGCAGTCCAAGGTCCAGGGAACAGTCCAATGCCCAGGGAGCAGTCCAAGGTCCAGGGAGCAGTCCAAGGTCCAGGGAACAGTCCAAGGTCCAGGGAGCAGTCCAAGGTCCAGGGAGCAGTCCAAGGTCCAGGGAGCAGTCCAATGTCCAGGGAGCAGTCCAAGGTCCAGGGAGCAGTCCAAGGTCCAGGGAGCAGTCCAAGGTCCAGGGAGCAGTCCATGGTCCAGGGAGCATTCCAAGGTCCAGGGAGCAGTCCAAGGCCCAAGGAGCAGTCCAAGGCCGAAGGAGCAGTCCAAGGCCCATAGGGCAGCGTCAAGCACTTGATGTGACGTGGAAGGCTGTCAGTTGTGGGAGACTCAACGCCATGATTGTGCACTAGTCCAATATTGTAATGCACTAGAATCGTGCCTCGCGCACATTGGGTGTATGTAAGGTAGTACAGTGATGTACATGTACGACTGGCACCATTTCCACAAACAATTATTTGTTCACATGCTGATTCTACGAATGAATGAATAATCTGCCATTCCCAACATTCCATAATCTCCGGGCTTAACAGGTCCTCCATCTTCCGGGTCCTACCTGGCAAGCCACGCGAATGCCTGTTCAGAATTCTCTATGGCCAGTGCGTACTCTTTCCGCTCGAGACTGCGCTCAACAACACGGACAAAGAACTCGAGAAAGTGAGCTCGCTTCCGACATCGATTCACTGCGGGCAGAGGGAGAGAAACGGAGGACAAAACAGAAGAACTCAGCTGCGCAATTTACCTACTACAGTTTAAGAAGCCAATGAGTCACAGAAGTATACTCAACAAGGCATGGCCAAGGGACAGGGATCATGCCAAAGAGGGAGAGAAAAGAGGAGAGGCTGGAAGTAAAACAAACTAGTTATGGATAGGAGCAAAAGCGCGGAAATCGTGTTAAGAGAGCACGGGGCAGCCTCCAATGGATCATGTATCTCGGTATACACACCCTCTGTGTGCGTGCACTGGCCATCGTCTTACCTTCACGATAAGCGATTTCACTTGGGAACTGCCGGATCACACCATGAAGCTGGGCACGATCATCGATTCCGATCGGTGCCAGCTTCCCGTCACTAGGTACTTTAACTGGACGAGTGTATGCGAGCGCACATGTGCACACACACACACACACACACACACACACACACATACACACACACACAACATACACACACGCACGCGAGTGCGCGCACACACACACACACACACATGCATACAAACACACACACCCAAAACACACAGACACAAACACGCACACAGGAAACGCACACATAAACGCACAAACACAAACAAGCACACACACACACACACACACACACATACACACACAAGAGGTGGGATAAGGCAGAACAAGGAGAGAACATGGACCAGTTCTTGCGAAGCCCTTGCTAGCAAATCTCCTACCACCTACTGAAACTAGAGGTTACGTGACTATATCACGATTCGAGATGCTTTGCATGGTGTGGTAAAGTCATGGTGCCGTGGTGTGCTAGTGCGGCGTTGACACACAAACTAGCAATGGTTGCCACTCCATGAGTCACCTGGTACTAACATTAATGGCTGCATGCAGTGAAACACAAACATTATTCGTAGACTACTCAGGGGCGTCGGAAGGTATTTTAGTGTGGTACGGTCAGCCACCCTCAAGTACAATTTACTCTAGGGAGAGGGTGACTGAGCCGAAAAATTTGGAAATTTAGAGCCCAGATCAGTGTATTATATTGATTCATGGGGTAATTGGGTCAAAAAATGGTATGGTCAATACCGCAGTGACCGTGTCCGACGCCCCTGCTACTGGTGGTGAATTGGATAAGAATGCCTCGGCCATATCAGCAGGGACAGGAGTACACTCTATTCGCACACCTCACGTGAGTACGCCACATGATCAGGGAGTTTGAAAACAAACTATTGTTTCCACAGGATTCATACTGGCACGTCATACAGGACTAGCAGGTCTAGATACATGCCATGCAGTGACTGTCCTTTTAGTCATAGACCTAACTGGCAATGTCAGCTGCAGACATGTCACACGTACACTCACCAGCTGATAAGTAAGAGTGTGTCTCCTGAAGTGCTCGGATTGCCGCCAGGACGGCCGGATTGGCCAGTGACACCGCTGTCGTCTTCAGCTGCCCCACGCTCATTGCACGCTTCACCATCGACTTGTTCATAGATGCAGCAGCGCCCGTCGCCGCGCCAAGCCGATTGCCGGTGGCTTGCTGGTTAGTCATGGCAGCAACCGACGGCTGAAGAACATAGCCAGTGGCCACGCTGAGGTATTCGAGAGCTTCTCTCACGACGGGTGAGGTCAGCTTTAGACCATCGTCATCCAGCTGGTCTTGATCTTCGCTTTTCAGCAGCACCGTGTAACACTGAGAACAGTAAAATACGGGTTTGCACATCCATGTTACAACCAGCGTTGTTCAGAAACATAAACAGCTGAGGAGGTTTTGCTTGTGCCAGCATCCCTTCGCCCTGTAGTAGTGGTTCGAATGCAGTGTCTAATGGCGAGAGTGACGGGTAATCCTCACAACTTGAAGTTTGACAAGGGTGCCCTGGCATCTTCTTAGCTACCTCCCTCAGGATTCACAGTGGGTATGGTGTACGGTTGTACACGATTTTTTCATTTATCGGGAGACGTACTTCTTCACAGCCATACAGAGATAATGGGGGGGGGGGGGGTGTGGGGTGTGACCTCAACATAAGACAGGAGACAGGGGGGGGGGGGGGGGGGGGCGACAATGAGCAATGGTGCGGATGACGGCTTGTGGGGCTCGGGCTCATGCGATCACTGGTCTTGGGGCCATAGCCGCACGAACGCATCCTGGGGCGAAAAGACGGAAATAGCGACTTGCCCGCAAAACCAAATAGCGGGAAGATCAATACACATGCCTCATTTATGACTATTAAAGGCAGGCTAACCATATCGATATAGGCGGCCACCGATGCCGTCATCAGCAACACCTCCGGTTCACTGTGCAGTGCCTTCCTCAGCGTGTCGTTGCTCTTGGCGGCTACCAACAATTCCTGTATGGCAGCGTGGCATTTCAGCATGATCTAGACAGCAGGAGAACATACAGCAACACGCATAACAAGGAGAAGTTCCAACATGATCATGATAAGGGCTGCTAAACTAGACACGTAAAAACTTGCAGAGCACGACTCGGATGTTAGCAAAATTGATCCAATGCGCAGGGTTTGCAATGACTTTTCTCACACCTAATTTAGTTTTTCATTCCCTTTCTTTCTTTGCATTCTCTTTGAACTCTCCCTCCCTTCTAAGTTCTAACATCAAGGAATGGTCGCTGTGCTTGAAGCTTGGGATTATGGAGAGAACCGCGTTGTTTGTGACGACACATTATTTGCGCTGTGCTCAATGTGTTCTCGTTAGACACACACACTTTTAGTTTAGCAATGTGGACGTGCACAGCGTACAATTAAGCTGAAGCCAATACTGCAGGTTGGTTGTGCTGGTCATGCCTTACTGTGAACTCAGCCAAATACTTTCAACCCATTTGTGTATCTTTCCTGCATGTCACATGACTGTATCCATGGAGACAGCTAATCAATGGCCTTAATGAGCACCAGCAAGTCTTAGCATCTACATGTATGTAGAAGGCATGTGCAAGGGTAGTCATTTTCACAGCAGACTCATGTGGCTGCATTGCGAACCCCGTGCGGACCATTTTGATGTAAGCCGGCGGGAGAAAGGTCCGAGCAGCAAACTCACCCTGAGCATGTCCTTAGAGGCAATGCGCAGTTCAATCTCCCGCACCAGAGTGGAGAACACCATCAACACGATCTGCAACGCCAGCTCCCCATCGTTGATGAAGGTTGCCACGTCCAGGATGAGTAGCAGCTGATTGCATAGCGCAATATGTTCAGCCTGAACGCATAGTAAACAGAGACAAATAGTTATTATACAAAATTGCACGATACTGTACCAGTAACCTCAGTATGGCAACTGCTATACCATAAATCTTGTTTCTGTCCAATTCCATTACGTACATCAGGGAGTCGTACTCAAACTAGGGAGGTGACACGGCACAGAAATCCGTGTCACAGGGGTTGACTCGCACCCGTAACCCCTCGTTATTTTTGGAATAGTTCAGTCCAGTCCAGTCCGTAAGTCCGAAAGGTCAAACGCGAATCCTATCCTTCTACCTCCAAGCGTGCCAAGTAGATATAATACTTTGCACGCTTGGAGGTAGAAGGATAGGATTCGCGTTTGACCTTTCGGACTTACGGACTGGACTGGACTGAACTATTCCAAAAATAACGAGGGGTTACGGGTGCGAGTCAACCCCTGTGACACGGATTTCTGTGCCGTGTCACCTCCCTAGTTTGAGTACGACTCCCTGACGTACATCAAGGTCTAAACTATTTGGTCACAATGTGTTCCCAGACCTGCCATTTAAACTTGCTCAAATATGGACTTGGTGGGTTCTGGCACCGTGAGGCATACTTGTTAATCCTTTCATTACCTGTAGCTCTAGGGGAATCCCCAGGAGGCAGACTCGCACGTGTGGGTAGGACTCGTCCATTTCCTGGATGTCCAGGCGGATGCGCGCCATCACCGAGTGGGCAAAGTGTTGCAGGAAGATCGGGTGCAGTGACAGCACAAAGCACCGGAGCCTAAACAGACATACATCACAACAATGAAATGAAGGTGTAGAAAGGTTGTCAGCTGACCTCGGTTGCCCTGGCCACGCACATTGCAATGCCAGTGCCGGGTAATCTCATTGGCTACTGTGACTCGGCGAACCACCCGGAGTTGTTTGAACGATACTTCTCGCATTCGTGAAATACCGTTTTATGTTTGACCCACTACATCACAAACTACCCAGTGCCATGATGACTATGTTAGAGTGTGAGATGGTCGTAGATTGTACTCTAGACTGAGCCACTACTCTGTTTGGATATGAAGATTGCCAGTATTATAATGTACAGTCAAGTGAAGGCCTTGGCACTTTCTCCTAGAATGATAGAACAGCATTGATAACCCAGTGGATTAACTCCACTAACATACATGTACATATGATTTGGAATGACAATACATCCTACTTGCCCCC